CCACCCACACACCCACCCCACCCTCACACCCACCCCCCACACACACCCACCCCACACACACCCACCCCACACACCCACACCAGACACACAAAGACACACACTTCCATACACTCCCACACACACACACAGACACACACCCATACCCCCACACCCCCTCACACACCGTGCATGTGCGCACACACCCCCACTCTCCCCACTAACACCCTCCACACACTTACCTGCACAATCTTTCACCCACACATTCATAACCCTCCCACACACATACCCTCAAACACGCACACACACAGCATCTCACACCCCCCACAAATACTCCCACACACATACACCACACCCCCCACACACAGACCTACATACCCCCACGTGCCCACACCCCTACAAACACTCCCCCACATGCACACACACACACACACCCCTCTGCACCCACCCCACACGCACATGCCCCATCGCGCGCACACCCGCACACACACATTCCCACACACACCCCCACACGTACACATCCCCCAAATAGACACACACACACACACACACATACACACACACACACACACACCCCCCCCACACATACACATCCCCCACAAAAACACACACACACACACCCGCACACGTACACATCCCCCAAATAGACACAGACACACACACACACACACACACACACATACACATCCTCCACAAAGACACACACACACACGGTGGGGGTAATTGAGGAAGAGAGGGGATAGTGGGAAGGCGAAACCATGGAGGTAGATGGAGGGGGCAGCGGTCAGGTGGGCAGAGAGGTGCCGAGTTGGATGGGCAGATGATGGAGAGGTTTGGGGAGTGGGATGGGGTAAGGTGGGGGTATTGTGGGAGGTGAGGAGGGGAGGGGTTAGAGGCAGATGGGGAGGGGTTTAGGGGAGGTGTGAGGAGGGAAGTGGTTGAGAGGGTGAAGGGGAGAGGATTGGGGGACGTGTGAGGAGTGGGAGGGGGTGGAGGGCAGAGGATTGGGGGAGTTGTGAGGAGTGGGATGGGTGTAGGGAGGGTTGGAAAGGGGATTAGGTGAGTTGTGAGGAGGAGGAGGTGGGTGGAGGGAGATGGAAAGGGGTGGAGGCAAGGGGATTGGGAGCAGTTTAAACAAGTGGATCAGAGATGGGAAGGGGATTGGGGCGGTGTGAGGAGTGGGAGGGAGTGCAACAGATGGGGAGGCGATGGAAGGAGGTGTGAGGAGATGGAGGTGATGGTAACAAGGTCGGGGGGAGCTGCTTCCATTGCTGCTGGGGCCATGGTGACTGACACTGTGTCCCTGTTCTCTCCGGCAGGTCTTGAGTTTAGCATCAACGTGTGTCGGGGACAGTGTGGTGAGCCACGGCCTACTGCACTGCAAACAGCTGCTCAAAGTCAACCTGAGCCAGACACGGATCACCGATCGAGGTATGTGGCACACCACCCTGACCTGTCCATCCAGCTCACTGC